AGGGGTGGCAGCCATGTAAATGTAAATGAAGCCGCGATCATTTAAATCGCGGCTTCATTTGCCTTTGCCTATCTGTCTAATCTACATGGCTCCGTCGTCGGAGCCATGTAGTCTAGACACAGCCTAAGGTACTGAGGACCTAATCCTGAAAAGGTAGTTAGGTGCTTAATTCCCAGTGATTTATCACTTAATTCCCAGTGATACCTTTGAGAATCTGTGTCTGAATGCCTCCATGGTTTCAACTTCCACAGATTTTGGTACCTCCAAACTCTTTTAATTTTTTTAAATGTTTCATTTGTTTTATATTAAAGTAATCCACTAGTGCTAATAATTCATTGCTAGTAACTTAAGTCAGTATTAGATACACAGTTAACAGATACACAACATTAACTCAAATCACTCAGTCTAACCTAAAACCAGCTGCCTCCTCCCACTGTCAGCTCTCACATTCTGAAGATTCTGCTTATTATCTTTGGACTGTAGTAATACCACCTTTCCCTCTGTGGGCTCCATCCATGTAACTTGAGAAAACAACATGCTGAGACATTTCTGACCCAAGAAGCTGTAAACGCCAACTGCCATCCCGGGAAAAGACAGTTACTTTTTTGTAACGTGCTCTTTGAGAGGTGTTGCTCATGTTCATTCCATGTTAGGTGTGTATGCTCATCACATGCACCAGAGCCAGAAGCTATTCCATCAGCAGTACTTATGAACACCTCTGGTGATCCCTGTAATGATGCCCTCATGCTGCGGTATAAGAAGTGCCACACATTCTCCTCACCCTCAGTTCCTTCTTGCTGGAGACTCTGGCAGCTGGGAAAGAGGGTGGGTCATAGAATGGATGTGAGCAACACATCCTGAAGAACACCAGTTACAGAACAGGTGTGTTTTCTGATTTGAGTGCTTGCTCATGTTCATACCACATTAGATGACTCCAACCAGTACCCGTGGAGGGTATATCTATTAAGGAAAGAAGACATCTGCACGTAGGAAGTAAATAGCACATTTACTTGGAATACTTGGAAGGTCCGTGATTTCATCAATGCAGACAGTCTCGCCACCAATGAAGATTGCAACTTTTCCATGCCATCCTGTTTTATGTGGTTCTTGTCCATGTCCTTCCATGAAGCCTCCATAAAGGATCCACCCAACATGCTGAAGGCCTTTCTCTTGTTCTTTTTATGTCTCATAGATACCAATGGAATGTACCCACTGCCCAGCTGTTATCTCTCAGTTTCACTACATGGCCAGCCCATCTCCTTTTCTGATTGTACATAATTTGAATGATATCGTTGTCACTGCTTCTTGCACAAAATCATTGATAGTAACATGCTGTCACCTATTTACACCCACCATGCATCTTTCTATTGCCCTTTCAGTGGTTTGCAGCTTTAATTCTTCTCAGTGTTGTTTTCCAGGTTTTGCAGCCATGCAGCATTACCGGAAGGACACTGGTGTTAAAAAGATGGGCTTTTGCGGTGGTGGAAAGTTTGGAATCAACAAAAACACTGCGCAGACTCCCAAAGGCAATCCAATCTAATCTGACCTCCTCCTCCTGCTGCTCAACTCCAGGCCCAACTCATTGTCCATCTGCAATGCTTGTCCAAGATATACATATTGATCCACTAACTTGATGGACTGTCCATCCAGCTGCATGACGTACTCTGGACAATATGCGTTTTTCATCCACTTTGTTTTTCCACTGTGGATTTTCAGGCCAATCTCCTTCACATTCTTGCTGATGTCACTGAAGAAGGTTTGCAATGTTTCAGATTTCAACGCCATTAGGACAATGTCATCTGTGAAAAGGAGCAGCTGAAGAATCTCGTCACCTATCAGAAATCCATCTTTCACTTTGACCATCTGCAGGACATTATCCAGGATGCTGGCAAACAACTTCAGTGAACAAATGTTCCCCTGCTTTATTCCTTGTTTAACTTCAATAATCAAGGGATCATCAAAAAGTGTAATTTCCATAGTTGCCTCCATCATGGAATCTTGCATGATTCTAACATACACAGAGGAGACACCCTGCAAAAGGAGAGCATTTAGAGCTGCATTTTGTTCCACCAAGTCAAAGGCTTTTTTTTAAGTCAATGAACAACAAACATAGTGGGATCTTGTATCACTACACTTTTCGGTCATATGTGTGACACACAAATGTGGTCCACTGTGGAGAAACCCCTACGAAAGCCTGACTGTTCCCTTCTCATGTTTTCCTCAAGGACACCCAGGGAGGATTACCCTCGCACAGTGGTTCTCAAAATGTGGTCTACGGACGACTGTCTTGCAGGTGGGCCATGGGTTCAGGACTGCCCAACTCACACACACAGTGAGGAGCCTGCACTTGCATTCCAACCCTGTGCATCCCCTCCCCCCCGCCATGAGGTTTGCATACCAGCGCTTGCTTCCCGCTGAGGGGGAGGCAAGCCTCATGGGGGAATGAAGTGGTAGGGGGATGGAGCAGAGGCAGGAAGAGATGGGGGCAGGTCTTGTGGAAAAAATGGAGTGGGGGCAGGGTCTGGGCTGCAGAGGCTAGAGAAGAAGTCAGTGTTTATGCTTCTTCCTTCAAACAATCCATCAACCTCACTAGATTGATCATCAAAATCAAGCTCCCGGCAGAGTAAGACACATCGACTCAACATTGCACGAGGCCCTGCCATAATAATAAATGCAAAACCTGCAGCCATATCTCCACTGCTGTTCTGATCAATACTCTCCACACTATGCCTTTCAAGACCCATGGATCTTACATATGTCTAGCACAACACGAGGGATACTCCATCCAGTACATCAAATGCCACAACAACAGTTATGTGGGTGAAACTAAACAATCACTGTGCTTTTGAATGAACTCACAAAGAAAAATGATAAAAGACAAGACCACCCTAGAGCTATGTCTACACTTGCGGCTTCTTGCGCAAGTGTGGCCATTTTTGCGCAAGAATCCGCAGTGCATCTACACTGCCCACCCACTCTTGTGCAAGGAAATTTACAGTACAGCATGGTAAGAGAGGGCTTCTTGTGCAAGAGCTACACTCTTTTTTAACAGGTGTAAGCCCTCTTGTGCAGGAGCTCTTGTGCAAGAGTTCAATGTGGATGCTCAGCAGGGATTTCTTACACAAGAAAGCCCTATGGCTAAAATGGCCATTGGAGCTTTCTTGCGCAAGAGAGCATCCACACTGCCATGGGAGCTCTTGTGCAAAAGCACAGCGCGCACATGGCAGTGTGGATGTTTTCTTGCGCAAGACTTCTTGCACAAGAACCCTTGTGTAAGATGTTCTTGAGCAAGAAGCCGCGAGTGTAGACATAGTCTAGGACTCGTGAGAAAACACTTTACACAAAACAATTTCTTCTAAGGAAACTAGCATAAAATCTTCAAAAGACAAACCTCGGAGCTTAAATTCAGAACTTGACTGTCACTGGGTCCCCTCCCTTCTTTATGAAAATTGGGTCATGAATATGAATATACATAACATTATGAAGACCCCTTAGGCAAAATGCATCGTGACATATCATTTTTAAAGTTACAATCTGCTAAATGTGTGTTCTGTACATTTATCATTCTTGTACATGAAGCTAGAAATACGAAATATACATCTGTTTATAAATCTAAATGTGCTAATGAGAGCCATTAGTAGTGCTCTGGAAGCATAATGGTTCAATACTCAAACCAACAACCTGTGAATAATCTTGTTTTTCCTGCAAACCTGGACAGTGGTTGGTCCTGCCAGGACATGTGGCCAGGCCACCTGATGCTGGAACCCATTTTGGATCTTGTAATTTTTCCACTCAATGTGAGAAAAGTTTGAACTGAACACA